GCCACTTCCAGCTTTTTTTCCTGCATATGTGGTGCTGAGGAATCGAACCCAGGGCCTCATGCATGCAAGACAAGCACTCTACCACTGAGCCAGCCACCTTCCCAGCCCACTACCTAACTTATGAAACTATAACCACTCTGTAAATCACCTTGTGATAGCAATTTAAAAATTAAAGAAAAAAATAAAGATTAATAAAAATTAAGATGTGCCAGCTGGGCACTGGTGGTTCACGCCTGTAATCCTAGCTACTCAGAAGGCTGAGATCTGAGGATTGTGGTTCAAAGCCAGCCCAGGCAAGAAAATCCATGAGAATCTTATCTCGAATAAACCACTAGAATACCAGAAGTGGCACTGTCGCTCAAGTGGTAGCATGCTCGCCTTGAGCTGAAGCTTAGGGACAGTGCCCAGGCCCAGAGTTCAAGCTCCACGACAGAAAAAAAAATTAAAATGTAACTCCTAACAAAATGATAGTGTCTTCTTTTGTGCTAGTACTGGGACTTGAACTCAGGGACTAGGCAATGTTCCTGAGCTTGTTCACTCAAGGCTGATACTTTACCACTTGAACAACAGCTTCACTTTCAGCTTTTTGGTGGTTAGAGATAATGGATTTGTCTGCCCTGGCTGGCTTCAAACCATGATCCTCAGATCTCATCCTCCTGAATTGTCTAGGATTAGAAGCATGAACCATTAAAGTCTGGCTTTAAGTGCCGTTTTATAACTTATCAGAGGAAAGGCTTCCATCTGACTTTGTGTACTCCTTGTTCTCCCTACCAAAGCAGAAACATGCAAAGTGATTATGCATTTTGCATTTTGTTCCTAGATTCATTAGGACTTTATTTAGAAGGACCATTTCTCTTCTTTCCTTATTTGCTCCAAGCTTCCCACTGTGTATCTGACAACTAGCTTAAGAGACATTTACTGATAAAAAGCAAGAACGGCCCATACCAACCACTACTAACAAAGAATTACAATTACTGTTCTCTCATTTTATTTTGTCCTTTTAAGAGAAAAGGTTTTTGATTCCTTCTAATGATGCAAGGGAGGGAGAAGGAATTTAGCCAATATACCAGGACAAGTACTCAGTTTTCAAAGGGGCTGGATGTTACAAAAAGCTTGCTCTATAGGGGAAAAAAAGAAAGCTAATTTTAGAACAATTTATAAGACAATAGTAATTTTTTGGCAATATTGGGTTCTCATGCTTACAGGCAAGCACTCTACCCTACAGCAACACTTCTAATCCCTTTTTGTACTGGTCATTTTCAAGATAGGTTCTTGCTTTATTTTTCTCCCATAGTAAGGATGATAAGCACATGCCATTACACCTGGCCATTTATGGAAATGGAATCTCTTATGAACTTTTAGGCGTGGACTGGACTCAAAGCACAATATCCACTCCTACCCTTCTCCCAAGTAGCTAGGGGTACAAGCTTGAGGCACTGCACCAGACAACATATCTAAATGGAACTATAAAAAAATAATTTTGGCGCTGGAAATGTGGTTTAGTGGTAGAGTGCTTGCCTAGCAGACATGAAGCCTTGGGTTTGATTCCTCAGTATCACATAAACAGAAAAAGCCAGAAGTGGCACTGTGGCTCAAGTGGAAGTGCGCTAGCTTTAAGCACAGAGATGCTCAAAGACAGAGCCCAGACCCTGAGTTTAAGCCCCAGGATTGGCAAAAAAAATTTCTCCACAGGGAGAAATCACTTAATAAAGGGTCCCAATTTTTCACTCAAACAATTATTAAAACTTACTTGTAGCTGGGCACCAGGGGATCATACCTGTAATCCTAGCCATTCAGGAGGCTAAGATCTGAGGATTCTGAATCAAACTCAGCCCAGGCAGACAAATCTGTGAGATTCTTTATCTCCAATTAACCAGCAAAAAACTGGAAGTGGAGCTGTAGTGGTAGTAAGAGCACCAGCCTTGAACAAAATAGCTAAGAAGAGTGCCCTTGTCCTGAGTTCTAGCCCCAGTACTGACACATGTACATGAATGCATGAACACACACCCACACCCACCCACCCCACACACATATATTATTGGCATAACTCTTGTCCTAACTCCATGCCCAAATCTCAATCCATAGGATGCTGTAGTTTACTTTGAAGTTAGATTTAATTTCTGAAATTTTAATGTTTACACTTATCATAAGTTAAAACTTATCCTGCTGTTTACTCACTATAAAAATTTTAGTTAAGAGGCTGGGAAGGTGGCTCATTGGTAGAGTGCTTGCCTTGCATACATGAGGCCCTGGGTTCGATTCCTCAGTACCACATAAGCAGAAAAAGCTGGAAGTGGCGCTGTGGCTCAAGTGATAGAGTGCTAGCCTTGAGCTAAAGAGCTGAGGGACAGCACCCAAGCTCAGAGTTCAGGCCCTATGACTGAACAAAAAAAACAAAAAAAGTTAAAAATCTTAAAGGTAATATTGGGCACTAGTTATCCATTATGTAATCCTAGCTACTGAGGAGGCCAAGATCCAAAAGACCATGGTTTGAAGCAAGTAGAGGAAAAAAATCCTTGAGACACTACTCCAAAACAACCAGCAAAAAACAGGATTGGAGGCATGGCTAAAGTGGTTAAGCAACAGTCAACCAAGCATGGTTGAGTGCAAGGCCTTGCATTCAAAACCCTGTATTGTCCAAAAAAAGAAAAAAAAAACACCTTAAAAGGCATTTTTGCCATAAGAGAAACCCTCTTTAAACCTGAAAGTGAACAATCATTCTAAGCATTTACATTTGTAAATCAAAGCCCCTGTTGATACTTTCCTTGTCATCATTTCCTACAAGATGGATTAA